ACACTGGCCCGCATGAAGTCGTCAAGAGAATAAATGACCGAGTGTACAGCATTCGAATCAATGGCGTTGAGAAGACTGTCTCTGTGGACGCCCTAAAGCCAGCCTACACCCTTAAACCCGATACCGTTTCATCCACCCTGGAGAATCACCCAGCGTCATCCTTCACCATGGACCGCCCTCTTCGCACTTACTCAAAAAAGAAGGTTTCGTTCCTCCCTCAAGTGGCTTCGTCACTGGGAGGGGAGTAGATGTGGCGTCATTGTTCCGTGAGTCCGTTGTGTTCAACCCTGGATGGCTCAACTATTGTGTACAACCCTGGCGGCCTGACGTGACGTGACAGAAGACAGCTGTCCCAGGTTGTTGTTTACTTCTAGTCAGCTTGTGGCCGCGCAATTATGATATCGTGTTGTTGTTGTTAACAAAATAAAGTATTTCGATTTATTTGTATGTTCAGTGCCCAGAATTAAACCGAGTTATTAGTAAAACAGTGTTTTCATTCGCTGGTGATATATCAAGCAAACACATAGCAGTAGTAGCTATATGACTACTAGCGCTAGCGCCATCTACAAGAATAAGTGAAGTTATTTATTCCATCTTGATCAAGCGAAACAAAAACCATCTTCCTAAAAATAAATAAAATCACCTACGACGACTTATGAACACACCAGTAAAAATCACGAATTCGGTATGACATACCCAAGAGCACTTTACCGGTCCTGTAGAAAGTACAACGCGACTGGAAGAGCCTCAAAATGAACGCACGTTACGGAGGAATGTTTTTTTGGAAGGTACTACAAAGATGGAGCGCGCAATATTACTACATTTGCAATTACAGGCGCGTAAATTCAGCTGGGGTATGTGGTACCCCACATTACCAATGCAGGGTTAAATTAAAATTTTAGTTGCATTTATGGAAATATAATTTCAAACTCAACCAATCTAGGCTAATTTTCATCGGAATTCAATTTCAAACTACAGATTCTGATTCTTCCCTTCAACCTACACCGCTCAAAAGATGCCGCAAACTACGAGACTATAGGTACTGGTCAGGGAATGTTTAAGATATGCGTGTGCGACAATGTGCCGGAATTCTGTTCCTAAATCAAAAAGAAATTTCGGTTGTGTAGAGCTTGCCTAACGAGCGTTTTGAATTCCGGATCTGAAAAATTAGATTATCATGAGCGTAAGTTGAGTTGACATTTCTAGCGCAATCACGTGATAAAATAGTTGGGTTTTATTGGTAAAATATTCGCCATGTTGGATATTTCACCAATCAAATTACACAATATTATCACGTGATTACGCCAGAAATGTCAACCTACGCTCATGAGAATTCGCCCTCATAACACATGTTTTTCCATATATCGTCGCCCTAGTTGTGAATGGTCGTAATCCACAAAATGTTCATTCTTAAGTTGTGACTGTTAACCTCTCTGTTAACATACTTAAAAATGTTTAAACTCCATGTTAGTGAATAGATCTAAGCCACTGATCAATATTTGACCTTGTTATAGTATATTTGCTAATTAAAAATAATGTTTTCACCAAAAAAAATAATTTTAAATGCAGTTTACTCACAACTTACCTTGAGTGGATTACGACCATTCACAACTAGGGCGACGATATGTCTCAAATGTAGGTACACGCTCACACAGCCGGAATTCAGATTCTGATTCTTCCCTTCAACCTATAACGCTCAAAAGATGCCGCAAACTACGAGAATGCTGCTCACGGAATTTTCAAGATATGTTTTCGGTCATGTTCCGGAACTCAGATCCTGAATTCTATTCCTGAATTCAGAAAGACGTTCCGGCTTTGTGATGTCGGCCTTAGATTAGGAAGTTATTCAGAAATTGTCAATTATGTATAATTTAGAAAAAGGAAATTGTATTTCAGAAGGTGTGAACTTAATTTCAGATAATGGAATATGTGATTCAGAATAGTTTAATATGCACCTCATTACCTCATGATAAGCTATGTTCAGAGTGAGATGTGAGATGTGATAATGTGAGATTTTTGCTCATTTTCTTGAGCATATATTGATTTTTAACTTTTGTTATAAAAATTATGTGTAGCGTTGTGATGTTGAATAATACTCTACAGAGTGTCCGGAATAACTTGAAGTACATGGGGATTCTGGTAACCATTGAAGATACAGGGTGTACCAAATGAGGAGGCTGCGCAATCAAGTCCTTACGAAGAATCTGTCATCAACTTCTTTCGAACTTTTTGATTATATCTTTTATATTAAACATGATATAATAGTATATTCTTCGACGAGCATATAATAATAGCCATTATTTGCAAGTAGAAGACTATACTTTCTCTTCCCTTGTTGTTTCGAGTTTAGATTATTTGTAGGAACTTGATTGCGCAACTTTCTCATTTGGTCCACCCTGTACCTTCAATAGTTCCCAGAATCTTTATGTACTTCAAGTTATTCCGGACATCCAGTATATTAATTTTCAAAGCTCCTGGACTTTATAAGGGGAATAAGACGTTTAAAAACTAACAGACTGCCTGGTACCTATATGTGCAAATTGATATATAGCTGACCCAAATTTCAATAAAATATCTACAAATAAACAACAATTACCTTTCGAACCCTAAAAAATTGAACTTCTCCAAGGGCATGTTCCAATATTGACAGAAAACACCTACGTTTTATCAGCCGTTGATGGATATCCGAGATTCAACATGGACGATAAACCCAAAATCCCTATAGATTTTACCCACCTTTTAAAGGCCTCTTTACAGTTCGTTATTTTCCCTGCCGAGAAGAAAGCTTGCAGGAAATTTTATGACAGGCATGCGCACATCTATCTTTTAGGAATAATCATCGATGGTCTTAATAATCTTCGCTTTGCAGATAATATTGTCCTTATATCAGATAGTCTGAGCGAAGCTAAAGAAATGCTTCGCAGGAACTTTAAAATTACACGCAAGAAGTGGGCCCAAATATATGAACCTCTCCAAAACCAAAATGATGATGGTTCCCAGTGAGCAAATACAGATAGGCAATAATAACATAGAAATAGTAGACATGTACCTATACCTACCTGGGTCATGAGATGAGAATACACTGAGATAACCGCAAACATGCGGATTGATGAGAAGAATAACCCTGGGATGGGCAGCATTCCAGAAAATGAGGGATGTGTTTAGGACTGACATTCCAATATTTCTGAAACGGAAAGCTTTTAACCAGTGTGTCCTCCCAGTCTTCAGCTATGGTGCGGAGACATTGATTCTCACCAAAGCATCAGCAGAAAAGTTGAGAGTAACACAGAGACGAATGGAAAAATCCATACTTGGATTGACTTTGAAACACCGAGTTAGGAATAATGAGATCCGCATAAGAACTGGGTGGACAATATTGTAGAACGTATCGCAAAACAAAAGTGGAAATGGGCAGGACACGTCGCAAGTTCTGAGGACGTGAGATGGATGAAGAAACTCATTCAGTGGAGACCAAGCAAACGAAACTGAGGAAGACCTCCCACTCGCTGCACAAACGACCTTGAAGAGATTTCATCAAATTGGATTATAACTGCTCAGAACAGCAGTACGAGAATATTCTATCTACTTTAAAAACCCAATTTAACAGACGCTGGAGAATGTGACAAAAGCTTAATGGTACTTTCCCCGACGATTAGTTATTATCCTTCTTTATTTCCGTACCTATTATTTATCCATTGTTGATTCTTCCGAAAACTGAAGAAACGAACCGGGGAATTCAACCTCTAGAACCTCCGACTCCGCTCATAAAATAGGCTTGATCAGTGTAAGCGCTTACTAAAATATCTATGGGAAACCAAAACCCAAACACACTAAACATAATCTTATTAAAAACAGCTGACGTTCATTAATATCTGTGGTTAGTGATTCTGAAAATGGCATTAAAAATTGAGGATAAAAATTGCAAACTGTGAAATCGTCAGAAATTTATAGCAGCAATAAACTTGCAGGTAGAAAAATAGTGATCTGTAAAACTGCCTTTAAGAATACTAAAAAAATTGCCAGAGACGGTTTTAGGTACCTACATATGTGTGCTGAAAAATAGCTAAATATTGGTTTTCTCATATATTTCTAAGCTTTTTTGGTTGATTTCCCTACAGAACTGTGGTTAGGTACTCGGTTTCCAAAGGAAGGAGTTTATGTGTGGAAAACATAATTTTTTAAGCTGCGTTGTCTTTGTTACCTGAAAACCTAAATGTATATGAAATTCAGTATTTTAGGTTCTTGTTCACTAGTTTGGCATAGTTTGGTTCTGTTGTTATGTTGTGCATCTAAGGTCTGTTCTCACAGAAATCACAAACCAGTCAGATCGTTTTTAATTGGTACGAATTGCCAACAACCAGTTTTCTGACTATTTTCAACCAATGAAATTCACTTTTCCAAAAGTGAATTTTGATTTGAAATTTAAAGCCTACACTTTTTATGCCTTTAATTGGATTGTATTTTTGATCAACGGAAAACATAAGATTTGGGTATGTCTATTAGAATTAAATTTTAACAAAAGCTACTTTAACCGATGATTATTAGGACTAATTAGTCACCGCCAGATCTAATTAGGTACAATTACTTTCGAAAACCCTAAGTAGATGATTAGGCAAAAACCCTTACTATTGCATAACAGTACCACCAACAACCCTCCAGCCATACCCATCCATCAACACCCAAAACCCATAAACCAACAAAAGATCGACGTCCCCATCAACATCAAACAAAAAAAAAAAAGGAAATCTAATAAACAAAATTGCATCACCACTACGACCAGAGGACCAGCATCCCAACCATCTAACGCGGACCAGATATCATCCGACCCTCATCTTGGTAGGCTCCGCCTTTGCAGCTCCCACCATTCCAACCATGGTGTCTGCCTCTGGTCCCTTGTCCCCGCGTGGTATACCGTATTCAACCAAGAACTGTCCCCTCTATCGAGATCACCCAGAGCATCCTTTTCGAAATCCTAACCTGACGCATTCCTTGCTCGCACTCCGGTGGTAGTGGACTGCTGCGGTTGGTATACCTACCATACCTATATATTATTGTTGGTTCCGTCAATAGTTGTTTTTTTGGTTCCGGTAGTGCGATATCAATTGGATTTTGAACTAGATTGTAAAGTGATTGAGTGAATCGTTTAAGTGACTGGGATTTGTCTTTTGAGGATTTTGACTATTGGTGTACGTTGAATCTCGTGAAAAAGATCCGGATGACTGGGCAGAACTTGAACGGTGAAACTTTGGAAAATTGCGAAGTTGCATTGTATAGGAGTGATTTTGAGGTAGGTGTTTCATATTTTTTTACTAAATGACCGTTATTCTACAAAAAAAACCTGAACTATTTTGCTATGTTTTGTAACAGGCGATTAGAGAAGTAACTCCGGCGCGGTTAACGAAATATTCACATGATAAGGCTTGGCACATTCATATTTAATTGTTTTATAGATTACTTAGAAAAAAAAATGATGATGAATAATAATTATTATTGTAACAATAACAAATTAGTTCAGGATGATGTTACACATTTTTGATTCAAGATTCATAATGTATGCATTAGTATACCTAAGTGGGTACCTACTTACTCGAAGGTTGACTTTTGCTAAAGACCCTTTGACAGGTAATGATGGTGTTAAAAGTCAATAAATTATAATATTGAACCCACATAATAGAAATTTTATAGCTTGAACTTCAAAATCTACCTCATTCATTCTAGGGAGTTAAGAAGGAAACAATGAATAGTAATAAGGGTAATGGTTAATCCGTTAATCTTTCTTGGAAAGTGAAAATGTTCAATGGACTTTACCTTTTGAAATACAGGCATTATAGGATTGGGTTAACTTTAAAATTTTCTTTAAAACCCTAAAAATTTCTCTATAGCCTAATAACATTATGCAGTAATTCAAAAATCGATTAGATTCAAATTAATTTTTGGGCATTAACAATAATGGGTGCCTCCAGTCAGACAGTCTAGATATTTGTAAGCTGAACCTGCTTGTGGTTATAAATCAAGAGCTTAAAGTCAAGAAATTTCTAAAGGCCTTATTAACATAATATTTTTAAAATTCGAGCTACCGAAAACGATTAGGGATCGCTCTTGAATTAAGAGCAGGTCCATAATAATTTTCAATGGATTATAGACATTAGAGAAACGAACTTTTTCAATCAGTGTCAATGTTTTTGAACTAAATTCTTCGGAAATGTATCACCTGGGTTGAATCAGATGCGCTAATGGGATCATTAAATATAACACAAGATTTTTCGGAATTAAGCATTCTGCGGTATATTTATTTATAGCCTGAGGTTCTTCCCTGAATTAGCAACTTTGAACCAGGATATCTGATACCTACACGGTGATACATTGAATTTATTCATCAAACGATTCTCGAATATAAGAAACTTAATTTTTGGTATTAATATCAATTAAGTCAATTCCTTAATCGCCAAATTATAACGGCGTTAAAAAATCATTGAATTATATTAAGCTCGTGCCGAAAAAAAAAATCGCGTTTTAGCAATTTGAAAAACTTGTGTATCGATTAATGGGTTACACGATAGTCGATTAATCTTTATCCGCATATAATTTGTATATGATGTTTGATTTTTAGAGTGGAAAATTATTACATGGTACTGCATAGTAAAATCTGTTTTTTTTTTAAAGATAAAAGTCAAAATGATATTATGTTGGCAATACAATGTAAAATTGTCAATGCTTTCAAATTTTTTATGTAGAAAAGGCTTGTGTTGCCAACAAAGTTACTAAATTTTTGACTTGGGGAATTATATTAGACTTTACTTATATTTGGAAGTATTGACAATTTTGTCATGAAAATCGGGAATTTATTGATGGTCGTACTGTACCTACTCTAAGTTACAAAGGCAATTAGCCCTCTAAGAAGCTGTAGAACGATTTTTTCATCAATTCATTCATCCAATATCATCAATTATATGATATTGAATTTGGAGAAAAAATGCTCTTTCATTTGGCTGTTGGTTATATAATCTTTCTTCCATCTAAGGGCCGGTTTCTTAATAGCAAGTCATCTCCGGGTTGGTTTTAACTCCAGGGTAAACGTGTCCAGTGGCAATGTTTACCCTGGAGTTAAGCTTAACCCGGAGGTGACTTGCGATTCAGAAACCGGCCCTAAATTTAATCGCCTTACACCGACATCTAGACTTGTTATTTTGAAGTTTGATTTTCAGGAAATACTAAATTACCATAAAAAAAACCATTGTCCCATATTTGTGAATTTTCCCATTTTTCGAATTGCACTGTAACTAGCCGTGCATGGCAAGTTGCAAAGTATACCTTTCCTACCAAAATCCAAAAACAAAAATTAACCAGAAATAAGTGTGTTACCAGAATAGCCGCACAGTTTAGAAAACGAATTAACACCTTCTTGTTTGAGGTATTCGTTTTCATTGTTCGGAGATGAGATCTGGAGGCTACACGAAATTAAATAAATAAACATCGCGTATATCGAAAGTAAAACGTATGAAGATTTCCCATAGCATGCTGTCCCAAAAAAAAATAATATTATCATACTTTTAACGATACTAATTTAGGTTTTGTACGATTTCTCCGTAATCAACCAAAATTTGACTAGATAGAATCCGTCCAAGAGAAATTTTGAAATAGTTGAGAGTAGATGGCGTAGACAAATATCCAGGAAATAGCAGGAAAAATCTGGATACAAACAGCCTTTACCATAACAGTGTTTTCACATAGGTATTTCAAGTTTGAGGCATATGGTAGACGAAATAAAAGTTTTTTTCTACAAGCTCTAGGGTCTCATTGTCTAAATTTTCTTTATTCGCTGCAAAATTTTCAGGCACTTTTCTAATTTCTTTGGCATCATCGAACTTGAAAAATCGCACCAGGTACTGCTACACCTTTACGTGATTCTTCAAGCTCTGGCCTGGAAAGTTGAACATTGTGTGTATGTGTGTGTTGGAGGTGTCAATTACACCGCGACCAAGGTTGATCTATTGTACCCCCCTTCTGCTATTAAGTTCGGGTTTCCTGCTCAAAGCAGAGCCCCTTCAGTCCTAGATTCTTCAGGAATTTTAGGTGATTCCAGGTGCTGGAATGTCTCCCAACTGTATAAGGGCACTTCCCAAGTTCTTCATTCTTGAGCAACTAACGGCATCGCAGTTCAGTAGAAGATAGTGAGGTGTCTCTTCTTCGTCTTCACAGAATTTACAGGTGCCACCTGCTTCTAACCCCAACTTCTGTGGGTGTTTCTTAAGTCTGCAATGTCCCGAGAGAAACCCGGTTAGAGTCTTGAAACTTTTCTTGCTAAGGTTGCCCAGCAGTTCTGATCTTTTTTGGATGAAATTGTCCAATAGATTTTTGGCCTGTCGTAGTCCTGGCTGTTCTAGCCATTGTTTGTTCCTTAGCCGGTTCTCTATTTTTTTTTTTGAGGATTTCTTTGAGGTGCGCACTTCCGCCTAATGCCGGAAAATGGTTCTAGCCCAGTGAAGGGAGTAGACGCTCCCGTTCTTGCGAGTCTGTCTGCGCATTCCTTGCCCTCGACACCTAGGAGGTTTACTTTATTTTGTTTTCCCAGCTCATTTAGTTTCTGTAGATATTCCCATACTCTCTTAAAATTGATGACTGGGGATCTCAATGCTTTGATAGCTGCTTTGCTGTCAGACATTGGAGAGATATTGCTCGACAAAAAACGTCATGCGCTAATAACGCTTACGGTATTTTGACGTTTATTGGATGCGCGATTCGCTTTTTTACGTGTCTTCCGCTATTAGGGTTAGCGCTTCGGGTTATTTATGCTTACGTACCGTTGGGCGCTATTCAAAATACCGCACAATATTGACATGACGACTGACAACTCCTACTTCGATTTTTCTCTGGAGAGGTTAGGATTTTTGTTTATTATTTATTTCTTTGTGTTATGGGTTAGGGTTTTGGGTGCCAACTCAAGTTCTCACTTCTGAGTTTGTGTTTTGTGGCAGCTTGTTTGGTTTGTATTTATTATTTTAAACAAAATGTCCCTTGGAACTGGTGTTGGTGTTCCCTCGGTGGGTCCAATAAAGCCAAAAGACGGACCGAAGAGGTTAGAGATAGAGATATTGAGTTCCAGCCCTGGAATCTTGAAATGAATAACACTAACCTCTAACAGAATTACGGGTTGAAGTATGAATTGCTTGAGGGATTCTTAGAGCTTCTGCCAATCTATAGATATCTTGCCTCTCAAATCGAAAATTATTTTTCACATCTTCTTCCTGCATATTATCCAAATCAAATTCAATATTAATATTAGGGTTTTGAAGGACTTCTCCTTGGTTTTGCTCCACTCCTAGTATATGGTGCAAAATCACATACTCAATAGCATTCTCGTTAGCCCCAGCTAAGATCACCGCCTCAAGATCTTCCTCCATCATAAGGTATGTAGGTACCTCTATCACAGTTTTTCAATTAACTACTTTTTTTTGAAATCTGATTTCTGAATCAAAAATCAACAAACAAAATAAACAAAAAAGTCAGGTTATAGGTTGTATCGAAACATTTGACATTTTGACTTCTACATGAGCGCAGCGCTAATTATAGAAATAACGTGGCAATAAGTTTCATTTTCAGCTTTTATTTATAGCTTGACGTTATGTAATAGCGCGGCGTAAATATCGTAATGCATGCGGTATTGTGATTGGCAATATCTCTCTATTATTACAATCTCTCGTTTCCGATAACTTCTGTTCAGGTTGAACCACTCGCATGTACCGATCACATGTAGTTTCGCTTAAAATATGCTTGGTGATTTCCCCATTGGCTCCGAGTATCAAGTCCTTGGCCCGAATACTTCGGCTCCAGTTCCATCAGCAGTTTTGGAACCATCTGTGTACCATTTGATGGTGTTTGCTTCAAGGGATTGGATAGGTTCCATGTTCTATCTGTTTTTTGTACTTAGTTCAATGGAAAAGTTTCTCTCGAAACTGAAATAATCAACAATCACGTATTTTCGTAGATCTTTGAGGTGTGCACAGTTTGGGAGAGGAAAAGTTCTGCCTAGGTGCGTTTTCCTTTGTAGGCCTATCTTCCCCAGTCTGAGACATGATCCACTGGCAACCCGCTTCACTATTATGTGGAGTGGTGTGAGGTCTAGAATGACTTCTAGTGCCGCGGTTGGACATGATCTCATTGCTCCTGTTATACAGAGACACGCAAATCTTTGCACTTTTTCTAGGGTTTTCCAAGTTGTTACTAGCTGGGTTCGGCTATACCAGGCTACTGCTTCGTAGGTGATAGTAGGTCTCACTATCATGGTGT